TTTAAAAGACTATAAAATTACTGAGGGTATAATGTAAGTAAAACACATAAAGGGTGGCCTCGGAGAAATGGCAAGGTTGTTGCCATGTGACCTGAAGGCAACAGGTTCAAATCCTGAAAAGAATCTCTCCACTAGCAAGAGTAAAACTATGTGCATTTTATCCCTCCCCAAACCTTGCCTAGTGGTAGCCTTATGCACTAGACCACCCTTGATTGAAATTTATATAACCTTGTGATCTCTTAACCATAATTGAAGGAACTTGTTTGATGTGAACAGATAATGAGCAATGGAATATTCGAGAGCCCCATGCACAGAGCAGTAATAAACTCAGAAAAGGAGAGGCACACATTAGCTATGTTTTGTGCTCCTGATACAGAAGCAGAGATTGAACCAGTTAAAGAACTGGTTGATGAGTCAAGGCCAAAGTTATACAAATCAATAAAGAACTACGTTAAGACCTATTTCCAATACTATCAGCAAAATAAAAGAGCCATTGATGCTGCAAAGATTCAACCCTGTTAGAGTGCTATTTGGCATATAGAAGATGGATTTGAGAAATGGAGAAGTTAAGGAAGAAAGTACTTTTATATGTTTAGCAAATGATAAAGTAGGTTTCTTGAAATAGGGCTGCCAATATTTGTGGGAGAGTTTTCTCATTCTCATTTATTTTCTCAATTTTATGTTGTATCAATTCTAAATGAAGTTAAATATGTTATGAAACTATCAATGTCCTTTAATATCCCATGCTTGTACATGGAAAATTTTTTCTAAAAAATTAAAGTTGCAGTAAAAATTTAACTCTGGATAAAGTATAGATGGGAGTATGTTGTATGTATTGTAAATTTGCGTCTTGTCTTTTGTTCATGTATTGCTATCTGTGTCCTGTCTTTTAGTGTTGTCTCCTTTAGAATGTGTGCACATAAATTCTATTTGGGCTGATCTAATTTCTTTCCATGCTTGTAGATGGAACAACTTTCTAGAAATATTAACTCATTACCAAAAATGGGGGGGAAAAAATTAACTCCAGGACTATGTTGCATGTATTGTAAATTTTGCCTGTTTATAAAACAATCCCTTGCTAGTAGGCATCTCTCTCAAATGTATTATTGAGCTTAAATTGTACACTTCATGAGACAAGGAGTAGATATTCCTGTTGTAGTTTTATGTGTGTTGAAAAAGTTTGATATTTCAAGTTAAACTGAGCCTTTATAGAAGTTAAGATGTTAACTTGAGCTAACAAAAAGAGTCAAAAAGAGAAATACAGTCGCATGCACAATAAAAACAAGCCAACGTAGTTAAAAATTTTCAATTTCTTCCCATGCCAGCAAATAACAAGGTTTTAAATTTATGTTGCTATACTTCATTTTGCAAAGACATGTAACTGATACCTATAATTTAAAAAACTTATAAAGACCTAATGAGAAGAAAAAGAAAAATACAAAGACTTGATATAAAATTAGATGGCATTATAGAAACTTGCATATTAATTTTTGGGAAGATTTCACAAAAACAAACTTAAAATTACTGAATCTCAAATCAGATTCGGTGACAATACTTTAATAGGTTTTGATAATATTGGACTTGCAAATAACACATTATTTTTGTAAGAATTCCTTATTTGGGATTTAGTTATTTCAAGCTTCTTTTCATAAAATTTTCCCTAATTTTTCCTAAATTTGATTTTAAAATTAAAATTAGTCTTGGTCCCTCTCATTTGTATAGAAAGTGACATTACACCTAAATGGATCTATGGGTGTGATTTATTGAGTGGAGAAACCTATTTAAGCACCATCACACCCTTACAGAGTAGTGATAATGCCTCAGGTTTTCCCAGGAAAGGTTCATAAATTGAATAGTGCATCAGATAACATAATGACTGAGATCTCTTGTCACTTAGCACGTTTTGATGGGCCATTGTCGTCGCCACCTTATGAGCCTCAAAGTTGTGGTAAGAATGAGCAAATTCACTTAAACCTCGTGCAGGATAAGTTCGAAATGGCAAAATCTGAAGGCATGGCATGGATGGTTGCTGTCTTGGGTTGTTTGGGAAAAATATTAGAACAAATCAAAATCACATGTTGGCAGAAGCAACAGCACACTGTTTTTGGCCAAACCGTGATTTTGAATTGTTCCATAGGATTTTTTAAAGTTGCAAAGGGCAGTAAACAGCAAGAAGCAACAAGTTGATGAGATAATATCGGAAAGAAACCATCTTGTGTTTAAAGGATAAGATCAGAAAATACAAACCCCATGTTACTTCTACTGTCCATGTGGAAGCATTACCATTCTTTCATAACCAGTCCACATTCCGCAGTATGTTCCTGAACTTTGGTCTGCTTCCTTTGCCGTGGGAGAACCTGAATCAATCTTGGACATGTGAATGTTACAGAGATATCAGAATTCTATGTCGTCACAGTCACAGAAGCTTGAGTGCAGGGGAAAGGCAAATCAGTGGAAGAGGCTACATGTGTAAAGTCTCATTTGAGTAACAAAACTTTTACTGGGTCCATACACTCTTCAGGTCAAAAGTCTCCATGCGGAGTAGTTATAAAATACAATAATTGGATGAAGGGTAGACTAGGAATAACTTCGGAACCAATGGCCTTGTAGCTTAATGAAATGAAAAGTGAAAGGTTACAGGTCTTATCTTACTTGTAACCTCAAAGAAAAGTGAAAGGTTACAGGTCTGGTCTTATCTTGTAACCTCAACGTTATTAATGTGTGGCCCGCCAATTTTTTTTTTTTTTTTAAAAAAAAAAGCTTGGGATGGTAGGGGCCTTCAGTTGGTCGTGTCCTGCTCCAAAGGCACTACCCCCTACATTCCATAATCCCAAATCCGAAATAAATTGAACTTACTACTGTGCATGTTTAATTTCACATTAAAAAGCACCAAAAGCATGTTTTTGGGGGAAGAACCGGTCAGAACTCAAAACTATGTTTTAATGGGTTCCTGAAATGAGCCAATCAGGCTCTTCAATCCCTTTCTTCTTTATCATGTTGGCCCTATCACCTCTTCTCTTTTGCGCTTAGATCAGCATGGTTTCGCTTATATCCAGCAATCTTTGATCACAACTACCTCTCGTTTCAAAACCACAGATCCTCCACATTCTCTATTTTCGTCCTTGTATTAATCATATCTAAGGATATGTGTTGCCAAAAATAATGGAACCCAAATCTACCAAGAAGCAAATGGTATCTTCACAGCCTTCCTCTAATTCTTTCCCCCTTTTTTTTTAACCCCACCAAAGCTCATCAAAAAGGCAAACAATAAAATTGTATGAGCAGCATTTACAATATTCAAAGGGCCAAAGAAGACAAGCCATAAAGTAATTAAAACAGCCAAGCATGTCTAAAAGCCAGAATATTTGCAGAAGAGATTGATAAGTATTGTCATTATCATCACCACCATCATCATTGTCAACCTCTTTACAACGAAAATTTTTCTTTCCTGAAATAGCCTACGTGGTATATCAAAGCAAAGAACGATAAACTAGGCACATTTTGATTGGAGAGGGGAGAAAAAGTCTGAAAGTGAAAAAAAAAAATGTCTGCATGACAGCCGTGTTAAGAGTAACAATGAAAAGACACTGGGATTTTCCTTTTTCTTCCAACAAAGCAGGAAAATTAAAGCTTGAAGAGAAGACCACCGTGCGTAGCAAAGAATGGGGCAAACACAAGAGACTCAACAGCCATCAGCTTGATAAGAATGTTAAGTGATGGTCCAGACGTATCCTTGAGAGGGTCACCAATGGTGTCACCAATAACAGCTGCCTTGTGTGGATCAGATCCTTTAGGACCAAGGTTTCTTGCATGCTCTGTCGCACCAGCCTATCACACCAAAAATTTATAACAAAATCAGTCATTAGACCATGACCATACTCTACTATGTCTGCTGATTATAAATATCGAGCCACACGCTCACCTCAATGTACTTCTTGGCATTATCCCAAGCACCGCCAGTGTTGGATGCAGAAATAGCAATCTGTAAAGAGGGTACAGAAACAAGTTAAGATCAGAGCAACAGAAAAATGAACAGGCGAAGATCGACAAGAAACTTTAAGTTTTAATAATCTCACGAAGAATTTATGGCAAATATGTAAGGAAAATAGCAGCATCAATCACATACAACATTGTGGAATAGTGTTTGGATGGAAACAAAACCATAGCTTTAAAAGTGATTTTACGGTATATGAAGTAAATATGTGAAGGAGTTTGTCTTGATTTGCGGAAAAGTACTTTTGAGAAGCACTTTTACAGCTTCCCAAACACTTTTTTAGTATAGCTGGGGCTATTTAAATGAAATGGACCAATATCTAGGGACCATGACATTGACAACAATGACCAAAAAGATCTGGAGGCTAAAAATCAAGGATTTATGCAAACAGTGGCTAGAAAGGGAAGCATGATGATAGCAAATATGATGAGATTAACATTAAAACCAGCAAGCCTTTTATCATGGGAATACAGAATGCAGACATTGGACCACAGAAGAGGGATTGAAGACAGGCCTAAATCTAAATTTCAAATTTTAAAAGAGATGGGAAAGGAAGTATTCCATCAACCATACTCCCAGAAAGGATACAAAAACATTACCTGTACCCCAGACACAAGGGATCCAGCAAGCACACCAGAAAGTGTTTCTACACCAAAAAATATCCCAACAATAAGTGGTGTAAGCATAACAAGAGCACCAGGTGGTATCATCTCTCTGATAGAAGCATCAGTGGAGATCTTAACACACGTAGCATAGTCAGGCTTGCCAGAGCCCTCCAGCAAGCCAGGGATTGTATTGAATTGCCTGCGTACTTCCTCAACCATCTTCAGAGCTGCACTTCCTACACTCTTCATTGTCATGGCAGAAAACCAGTAAGGAAGCATTGCACCCACGAGTAAGCCAATAAAGACCTTTGGAGTCAGCACATCAACTGTAGAAATATTAGCTCGGCTCACAAAGGCACCAAACAGGGCAAGAGAAACTAGAGCAGCAGAACCAATTGCAAACCCCTGCAACATTAAACAAGAAATCCGAGAAGGCTGACAAATGTGTTTATGAACCAAAAAATTAACAAAAGGAAGTAAGAGATAAAACACAAACCTTTCCAATAGCAGCAGTTGTATTTCCTGCGGCATCAAGGGCATCAGTTCTCTCACGAATTCTGTGACTCATGCCAGCCATTTCAGCAATACCTCCAGCATTGTCACTAATTGGACCATACGCATCAATGGCCAATCCAGTGGCTATGGTACTCAACATCCCAAGGGCAGCAACAGCAATACCATACATGGCAGCAAAGCTAAAACTAACAAAAATGCTAACTGCAATAGCAAAAATAGGAATAATGACAGATTTGTATCCCAAGGCAAGGCCAAATATAACATTAGTAGCAGCACCAGTCCTGCAGGAGTCTGCAACATCTTGTACAGGGCTGCAAAAAGCCAACAGAAAGAGTTTAAGTCCAAGATACGAACCAGATGCCAAGAGGTGAAAGGGGAAAATGACCCCAGTTTGCTCACCTATAAGCATTGCTGGTATAGTACTCAGTTACAAATCCAATAACAAGCCCTGCCCACAGACCAACAGCAACACACAAGAATAGCTGCCTGCAGAAGGAAATCAATCCCAGAACTCCTCAGATAGGAAAATAAGCACTAAGATTAGCAGGCTGCCAAGGATGACTAAATTAAAACAGGCATTCAAGCATACTCCCTCTAGTCCTTTTTACAAGAAATGTTTAACAGCTATCACATAGATTAAGAAAACTAGTTAAAATTGGTTATTCTCATTAAATATGTCCATATCTAAACATATTACAAAATTACCCTTCCTCAATAAAGATTATAAAATTAATGTAGCTCACTACACTAACTCATATAAAGTTATTTTAACAAATTTAGTCCATTTTTATAACCGTTGTCTTATCAAAGGCTATTTCTAGAAAAAATTAATCATTTCACATCTTTTTTTTTTCTTTTTTGTTTTTAATCAAATATAAAATATTTCTCATTCTAATCATTTCATTGATTTCTAATCGACAAGGGCTATATTATTTCAACTGAAGTTTCACTTGAAAAGGTGAAACATAACTACAAAGGAATGAAGCTTACCAACTCTTGACGACTTTTTGCTCTCCAAAATTAAAGATAGTGAAGGATGATGGAAGTGCAACCCAAGTTGCAATTGCAATTCCAACAGTCATCAAAGCAGTGGAAATGATAAGCTGCTTTTTCAATGCTGGCTCAATTTCCTTTACAGCCTTGATCTCAAAGAAGTCAGTTGCAAATAAGGTGGTAAGCAAACAGACCAGGATGCCCACTGAACTGATGATGAGAGGATAAAGCATTGCTGTAAACTCATGGTTCACACCAAATGAAGATATGGAAGCAACAACAAGAGCAGCACAGGACGACTCAGCATATGACCCAAAAAGATCAGATCCCATGCCAGCTATATCCCCAACGTTGTCACCAACATTATCAGCTATCACCTATGGACACAACAATTCAGTAAGGTATATACAAAATAAACAAAGTAAAATTTTGATCAAAAAGGGGAGAATGCACTAGCTTCAGGCTGTTATCCCTTACAGCTGGATTCCTTGGGTCATCCTCAGGAATGTTTCTTTCAACCTTTCCAACAAGATCAGCACCAACATCAGCAGCCTTAGTATAAATACCTCCACCAACTCTTCCAAACAAAGCCATAGAAGACCCACCAAGACCATAACCAGTTATGGCCTCAAAAAGACCTCCCCAGTCATCACCATAGTAAATCTTAAACACATTAATGGCAATGTAAAGAACCAAAAGACCATTTGCAGCAAGGAGAAACCCCATAACTGCACCAGATCTGAATGCAGCAATGAAAGCCTTTCCAACTCCCTTTCTGGCCTCCAGTGTAGTTCTTGCATTTGCATAAGTTGCAATTTTCATTCCAAGGAAACCAGAAACAACTGATGTAATGCCACCAAGCAAGAAAGATACAGTGCTGAACAAAGCTGTAGCAAGGGCTGGTTTACACATCTTAGTTTGATCATAGGTGCAAGGCTGGTGGCTTGTACTGAATTCCTCAACAGAACCAAGGAACAGGAATATCAAGATTGCAAAAGCCACCATGAAGATTCCAACATACTTATATTCGGTGAAAAGGAAAGAAGTTGCTCCTGTTAATCGTCCAGCAACAAGAAATAATTGAACCATTCTTTAAGCTTCCACCAACAAGCATAAATTTAAAATTCGAAAAATGAAGCAGAACCGGTGGCTAAAAAAATATATCATAGAAGTCCAAGGATACCCCTGACTTTAATAACCAACTATCAAAAAATAGAGCGAAGCTATGTATAAATGTAACATATTCCAACAGTTTGACATTTCACGTTCAACAGACTAAAGGCTAGATTATGTAAACAAAAATCACAACCAAAGTAACATGAAACGTCAGATAACTGAGCATCGAAACTAACAACCAGAATGTAAGATTAAATCAATAAAAGCATGCAGCGATGTAACAAAAAATAAGATGTCATATATAAATAGTAGAATACTTCTATTTTGCAAAATCTGACGAGAAAATCCTTCCTAAAATTGCTTCCAGAAGCTGTTGAAAAAATAAAAAACCAGTAAATAGGCATCATTCTTTTAATAAAGAATTTTTCATCGGCAAGTCTTTGAAAATTTATGGGAGGGGCAATAGATATCAAGTGAGCTCTAGAATGTTTCAGATTTCATGGATTAAAAAGATTGAAAAAAAAAAATAGCATATGTCAAAATAATAATCAACTTCAGTCTAGAAAACATGTGTCAAGCCAGGTAGAGTACTGGCATTAGTAATGACGAAAAAACAAGCCAAGCAGAACGTTGCAAATAAGGGTCTTCATACTAGCCTCTCTCGGATCAAGGTTAACCTTGAACCAACCAACCAACCAACCAACCAACCTCCCTCGATGGTTCATACTTCGGAATCTAAAACGAAAACCAAACATATTTCATTGGCTTGGTTTCTGCTATCGTCAATTAATACGTCAAAACAATAAATATTTAACATACGAATAAAAAGCTTATTTTGATCCCTTACAGATGAGATATTTCTCAATTTAATTCTTCACAGAAGTACCATCTCAATTTAGTCTCTCTCTTAGAAAATCATCTTCTTAGTTTGATTTATAGCATATTAAGTATTGCGCAATTTAATCGCCCACCCAAAGAAAGGGAAGGGGGGGAAAACTGAACAGCGCTTTCCCAAATACAGGCATCTCCCAGTTTGATAAAGTAAAATTTATTGACAACACTTCTATATATGAGCAGCCAGATAAAGCAAGGAAGAACCAAAAAAAAAAAAAAAAGTCCACCAATGGAAGGCAAGTTGAGAAATCAAACTTATAAAAGGACAGATTGAGATACTTTATTAGTAAGGACCAGAATGAGAGAATAATTTTATAAGTGACAATTGAGAAAAATAACATGTATTGGGAAGGGGGGGGAAAAAAAGCAGTTTTACACTTTAATTTAAAAGATATCGCCCAGAACCATAAGTTACGGTAAAGTATTATAATATGCACCAAGTTCAACGGGGAAAACATCGCTCTTTCCCTCGCCGGCGGGGGAGATCGCACCGCGCGAATTAAATCATGGCATTCCAACTTAATGGATACAGTCAATTTGGTTAACATGCTGTTGTTTCACCCTAAACCGTACGACCAAAATAAGTTCAGAAACCGAAGAAAAGAAAAAGCTTCAGTCAGGGAAAACTGCAGAAGGAAAATTTAGTCTACAGCTTCAAAAATACAAATTCCAACGAGCAATAAAGGATCACAACAAACCCCGTAAGATTTAGTAATAACAGAACACAAACAGGAATGAAAGATGCAAAGAGCAAGAAGGTAGCTTTCAGAGTACGAAAATCATACATTGAAATCTAGAAACGGACCTATTGTTCGCTCAGGCACCTGGAAAATCCATTGACTGAACTATAACTTGAAAAAAACTTATCAAAAATGCATATTTTCGAGTTTCAGGTGCAGCACTTGATGACCCATTGAGGAAAGAAAGAGATACCTTCAGAGATGGCGTTCTGAATTTCGGCGCACTTAATGACGACGTTGTGATCGTTAATACCCTCCTCTTCTTCGATGAGTGAATCATTGTAACCATTCTTGGCGCCGTTGTTGGAGGGAGAACTATCCCTCTCGGCAGTGAGCTTCACTCTGGAAACAAGCAGCCACTGAAACAAGGCGAAGCCGATTCCGATGAGGGCACATACCGGAATCAAAATCTCAGTCCCAAGATCTGGGAGCAAGGACGCCCCCATGGCGGTGAATCACTGTACAGAAAAAGAAAGGAGGGAAAGAGAAAAAGAGAGTAAAATTGAACGAGATGAATTCAGAGGAAGGTGCGAAGTGGCCAATATTGTTATCATATTACATAAAACAGGAGACGATTTACTGCTCTAAACTTGACAGATTTGAAATATTCATATCTTATTTAAATAATTAGGTTTAATTTTTATTTATTTAAAATAATTATTTTAATATGTATAGAATCTAAGATAGAGATAATTTCTTAAATATTATTCTTTTAAAAAATAATTTTTTCTATTTAAAAATAATTAATTAAATATTTTAAATCTAAATTGTTCAAATTAGATATAGACTATACACATCTGATGAGTTTTTAGAATATGGTGAGTATTGAAATTGATTCTTATAATTGCTAGATCTGAAATTAGTTGCATTTCTTTTTCTTGCCTAACAGTAGAGTACTATATTCCACCATTATAATATAATGTCACCAAAATATCTCCCATCAACATATCAAACTTTCTTTAATTTTCAATGTATGAAGAAATATATATATTTATATTAAGGTACCATAAAATATGTAATCAATTAAATATTTGCAAATTATAAGTAATGCATCTCATTTCTCAAACTTTATTTAATATTTGAACAAATATAAATTGTTTTAGGTTTTTTTTTCTTTGGTGGTTTTTTTTTATAATATACTCATCTATATAAGATCTATTTAATTAATTTAATTAGATTACGGAAGTTAGATAAGTTAGTTAATTACAAGAAATATGATATATTTTTTCTAAAACATCATAATCATCTTTTTTAATATCCTTCCTCCCTCATTTACTTAATTATAGTTGAGAGAGTATCTATAAAGGTAATTTTAAAAAATTGATAAGTATGAGAGATACGTCTTATATTTTTGGAACAAAAATTAACTTAACAATCTGATCCTATATTAAGGACTGAAAGAGTATATTTATTTACCTTCAAATTAGTTTGAGCCTTGTACGTTGCATAAAGTTCCAAAAATATTTGTATTGTTTATTCTTTGTGAATAATACTTTTTTTAGATTTTATATATTATATAGATCTATAGATATAGATTTTTTTTTTAAATTTTTATCAAGTAGTGTGGAGGCTTAGTCTGTTGCCCAAAATATAAATAATGATAAGCCAAACTTTTGTTTTTTTGGTGACAAAAGCCAAACTACTTATGGTTCACGGTTCATGTTACTTGTTAAAACTTTTGTATTATATATTGATATATAAGTATATCCAATCTTTTTTTTTTATATATAGGTATAAGTATTTTCCTATTGAAGACAATCCTATTAAAGACATTGTCAGACACTGAATGTGGATATTTCTCTGAACTTTTGTTCACCACGTCATGGAAACTAGCTCATTACTCCCTCTGTTCCTTATTATAAGAGACAAATAACCGAAGCACATTGATCAAAAAAACAGTTAAAATTAGTTAAAAACAATTAATGTGTAAAAAGTATAATTTTTTTCCAAAAATGCCCTCATTAATAAGGAGAGAGAGCATGAGAGAGAACAATTAAATTATTAAAGAAAGAGAAATGGGAGGGAGAGAGAGTGTGAGTTGGAGATAATAATATGGGTAAAATAGGAAAACAACACAAAAAAGTAGAGACAACTTTTAAGTGTCTCTTATATATAGGAACATGCCATAAGCATCAAATGTCTCTTATAATAAGGAACGGAGGGAGTATGTTAGATCTAATCTTTATTGGTCATATATTTTTTGAGATTGATTCGGATTTTTGGCCGCTCAATGCATCTCCAGCACATAAACTCATGAATCAAACTCAAAATAATGAATAAAAGTGCATTTCAAGGCTTTCACAAATAAAGCAAATGCTTAACACTAAGTACAGAGAGTATGTATACTGTTGAGACTCCTTCGAGTAATGAATGCAACAGATTTTTGCATAGGTCAGTAGATGTTGGATGGTCTTAGTTGATTGTTGCATGCGTCTCTATTGATAAAACTCGATACCTATTAGAAAAGTTAATATTACCTCCAGCCATAATTATAAGACATTATTTATAATCTAAAAACGAGATCTTATTATCAAGACTGAACGTAGTATATCCATTAGAGATAGCAAATAGTTATTGAGTTTCCAAAAGCATCTTAAGTAGTTGAGAAGTATTTTGTAACTAAATGTTGCTTTCTACATCGCAAAACTTGTTTTTATGGCTCTTCTAAGTTAAAACATGTTTAGAGTGAAGTTCCAAAAGATTTAAATAAGTATGAAGGTATTCGAAATTATTTTGGAAAGTCCAAAGCGTTGTTTGGAATACAGACAATAAAGATTCGAGTTATATAAATGTTTGACTCAAGTTATTCAAAAACACAGGCAGTGAATTTAGAAGATTTCAAAAGATAGACTTGAGTTAGTATTACCATAGATGAGGAGGATAGACATACCCTAGCTTTGAGTAAGATAGCACAATATTTCTAATTAAACTGGCATGAGGTGTGACTCAAGTATAACTTTCAATTTTCTCACTCCAGGTAGAACAACTTTCAGTTATAGCTGCCACAAATTGAATTATTATGGTGAGACTTCTTAAAAATGAGTAGAACTCAACTTGGTTGTGAGAAAAATAACTTCTAATTAATTATCTGACTTAAAAATGTATAACAACCAATTATAGGTTTCAAGACTCAAGTCATCAGCATAGGATTTCTAAAAGAAAAACAGGATTTAAGTTGTATGTAGAATAACAAGAAGTTATAAATATCCTAAAAAGACCACACTCAGACTGACTTGAGTTATCAAGATATAACTTCTAGTTATGTTGAGGTAAAAGATAGTAATTTTAGAGTAAGTAAAACCGAACCGTAATCGAACTCAATTCGATTTTTTCAATTCAATTAATTCAGTTTTTAATTTTTTTGGTTATTTTGGTTATCGGTGTTCAGTTTGATTTGCCTTAAAATATTTCAATTATAACCAAATAACTGAAAATTATTGGAAAAAACTATTTTTTTAGTCTTTCTCCTTATTTTCTTTTTTCTTTGACCAGCCTCCCCTGTGTTTAATATCCTTCTCCTAAACTTTTTGTTTTTAGATTCCATTTATAATTGTAATTTTTATATTAAATTTTATCGATATATTAATATTAAGTATATTACATAATCTGAAATAAATGATCTCTATATGTTATCTTGTATAAATCTTGTGTTTGGATTTAAAATAATCTAAAGTAAACGATATCTATTTGTTATCCGATTAGACTTTTATTATGTTTGAATTTAAATTTGTCATCAATTCGTATCTTCTTTTGGATCTTGTATGCCTTCAAAATTCAAATAGATTATTAGTGTTTGGATTTTTGTTTGGACTTCCATTATATTGCACAGGCTATTGTTATATTGTTTGGAACGGAAAAAGCCCAAAAAAGACTACTAACTGAATAAATTGTCTAACCTAACTAAATTTATTTTGATTAATTCAGTTCGGTTAGTTGTTACATTTCAATTTCGGTTCGGTTTTGTAAATATTCACACTTTGGTTGTTCAGCTATCATTGATAACCGAACCAAATAACTTGATAACTGAACTAAATAATCGAAGACTCAACCCTAAGTAATTTATAGTGAGCCGAATTTTAGGTAAAATCAACCCATTGATGACTTTAACTTGAGTTATTTGAAAAATGATCTTAAAGTATGTGAAATAAGACATGGATTGACAAACATTGATTGGAATTATCAAGAAAGATGACTCAAGTTATGAAATTCAATACAACACAAAACAGAACTTTCAATTGGCTTCTTTTTTTTTTTTTTTGGATTACTCCATCCGGTATTCCAGGGAAATAGGCGTCTTTCAGCCGTGACAACGTCCCTAGACTAATCCGGATTCGGGGGCTTGCAAGGATCCATACGGACGGCGCCCCTTGGCCCCTTGGAGTGCTACGTTCCCACGTCTCGAACCCGAGATCCGTGGTTAAGTTAGGACGACCCCAGCCAGTCGACCTAACCCCGCGGGGTTTCAATTGGCTTCTTATTTTCTCAAAAATCGAGTAACTCAAGTTATAATGCAAATAATGCAAAATAACTTAATTTGTTTTCTTTGTTAGTCTTTGTTTAGTTGTTATAAGGGTGAGGTGTGAGTTAGTTTGTACTGATAGGTTTTTTTGAGCGTTTCTTTGGCCTCTTGGCTATTAGTGTTTGTATTGATTTTTTTTATATTAATAAAATAACTTTTTTGGCCAAAAAAACTTAAGTTAATTTTTTAAAAAAATTGGAAGATATATTTAAATAAATTTTTTTATTAGGATAAAATTAATTATACTAAATATCCTGCAAAACAATTTGTTTTCTATTTTTGCTATCGATAAAACATAAAATCTAAGAATACGAATAAGAATTCAAGGTACTTGTGTATGTGTGTGTGCAGGAGTCATCACATATCTACACTCATAGCTTTTCATTTATAAATTTTCTTCGGATGTGCTGCATACATTCATGTCTGTGAATAACTGGCATCCTTTTGCGTAACTAAGTAATCAATACATGTAAATAATTGGATTTGATTCGATTCATTAATTAACAGTAGGTCTCAAACAACTATTCGTTGTTTGCTTTAATAATTATACGAGCTGTATCATTTGTTTTAGAATAGCATATATTCCTACCTATAAAATAATGTGGCTCGTTTAACAGGACATGATTGTATAATACAAGTGTGATCTTATTGTTTGTTCCATATATTCTTTTTTTCGCTGGACAATATAATATGTTCTATTTTGGCAATTAAATAGTGGCTACTCGCTAATCAATATATTTCTAGAATAATTTCTGTTTAATTACAATTTGAAACGTGCTTTATACGCATGTAAAAATATTTCATCAAAATAAGTTCATGGATTTTGAAATTTTAAAAGCCTAAAATACTTTCTAATTATTGTATCTTCCAACTAGACTCCTTCCAAGTGGAATCATACTATTGAAAGTTGAGAACAACAAATCATGAAGAAATTAATATCATTATTACCACCTACTTTAATAA